TTGAAAAAACCAAACAAACAAATGGAATGCTAGAATGTTCAATTTACAAGATTCAATCTGCAAGAAATAGAAGTTGGCAACAGATTTATCTATTAATAGTGATTGACCAGGTGAATAGGGTTAATTTTGTTCACAATTGTATATTCGGAAAGTGCATTAATGGTCATGATTTATCAAATATGTATTATTTAAAAAATGATTATTTCTTTAATGTGATCTAATAGATATATAATATATATAATAGTAATTACTTCACTATCCAATCAAAATTACATTACTATTTAATTTTAATAAACTTTTAAATGCATCACTGCATAATCGTAGCTTAATTACAATAAATTGGTAACTACATCAATATATAATCTCAATAAATTAGCAACTACATTGCTACTTAATCGTAATTATATTGTTTGCCCAATTTTTGTAAGACGATTCCGCAAATAAATTTATACATAATCACAACCAAATCACTGTGATCTTGTAGTGATTTGGTGACAACTTAGTAGAGAATTTGAAATTTTTTAATTGCTACTTAATTGGGGAGATTTGGAAGCAAAATAGTTACTGCTGCCGTAACTAAATTGGGGCGATTTTTTCACAAATACCATGACTATTTGGTGGCAGCTTTGTGGCGATTTGATAAAGTTTCAGTGGTGGAATAGCAAAAAAATAAGCACTTTCAGTAAAGTAGTTAAAAACATAGATGTATAGTTATAAATACTCAATCTCTGTTTTTTATTAGTTCCAAGTGACTTTTTAATACTGGTATAAAGACTTTTATTTAATTATATGTTTGAAAATCCAATCTAATAAATTCAATAGGGCACAAACAAAATTTACTTTTTATTTTCAGTTTTGTATAAAACAATTACCTGCTTTTATATTTGGCTATTTCATTTTGAATTAAATCTTGTTAGTGATTTTGTCCTTTCACTAACTATTTGATTGATTGTATATAGTCTTCAAATATTATTTTTATTACAAAAATTTCATAGTTTTTGCATGTATTTCTTTTGTTATATATATTTTTCTCTAGTCTTGAAAATTTTCCCTGCAACTTTGTTATCAATAAAAACTGTTATCCAATAGTAAATTAATTCTTTTTTATTAATTCTGCTTTCAGTTTTACAATTTTTGTACAAGATAATTTTTTATCTTAATTTTCAAAGGTCTTTTTGTTTAATAGTGTCATTGACCATCCTGTTATTAATGCATCCACATATAGTAAAAGTATTCTGGATTATATATATTACTGAAATTTGTAGATCCTTGATGCAATTGACACAATTAATTGAGTCACTATTAAAACATATAAATAATAGAGTCATAATACAATTATTTTTGAGGATTTTGGGAATTGAGTCAACCAAATAATTTATATCACATGTATATTCTGAATGGTTTCTATACTGAATATCTATTTCACTTGTTAAGATTCTTTAATAACTATTTTATATTTTGTTTCACTTGTTGTGTCAATAATATTTTTCTGTTCCATTCTTATTTTCTTCTGTTTTCTATATTCATTATTAAATAAAATTATAAGCATTAAACCTTTGCTGATGCAAATAAATGCTTGGCTAATACTTATTAAACTTCTTGTTATTGAGGCTAATGTTCAAGTTGTTAATTTCACATTTATTAATTTTTTTAATTCTTGTTTTACTTTATTGAGTTTGTTATCTGGTGTTGTTACTTTTTCTTTTTCTGTATCCAAAATCAATCTATAAAATTTTGATCTTTGTATTAGTTTTATATTTTCTTTTTTTATATATCTCACTAATTCTTCTTCTCTCATATTCATTAAAATTATCTTATCTTTTTATTATATTAATATTTCTTATAAAGGATATGAAATCAAAAATTATTTACAAGGTTTTTACAATAAATTTTTAATGATCACTAATGTTCAATTAGTGCTCTCATTACTTTTGAGAAAATCCATATTGCCTGGCTTAAGCCAAATAGAATTACTTGATAATGAAACTATTTTTCTTTAAATTTTATGTCCAAATAATTTTATGCTTCTTTTTTTATTAACAAATAATGGTAACCATCCTTTAGATCTATTGTAATGATCCACCAGTTTCAACTAATTATTCTTAAGAATACTTCTAATCTTTTGAAATGGAATGGCTTTTCTGGTAAAGTTTGATTTAATATTCTTAAATCTACAACCAATTACCATGATTTGTTTGCTTTTAGAATTACAAATATAGGACTTACTTTAATTAAACATGCTGGTTTTGCTTCTTCTGATCCAATTCACTTTATTACACCTTTGATTCCAAACTTCTTATTTTTCTTTTATTCAAACTACTTGTTCTTAAGTCATCTGATATTGTTTTTATACTGGTAAACTAAGGATTCTAACAACTCTTTTCAATTCTGTATTTGATTCTAAGTTTATATTAAATTTAATAGGTGGGATATAACCTACCATTATTTTTAATAATGTTCTGAACCTCATACAATTCCCTGTGATTCTGTTCGATTTCAATTTTCAGAACCATATGGTAAACTCACTAGGGGTAATAAACTATGTGGAAATAATGGTATTCCATTTTTTAACCAGCTTAAGATTTTCAGTAATGCCTTTATTTTCTATTTCCAATATTGAATTACTTCTGCTTGATTTAAACGACCAGTTACTATTTCCTCTTTCTGAGTATATTCAACTTGTATTTTGTGAGTTATTGAATCTTGTAAAAGATTTATTTGTTTATCCTAATCTAAAACTTCGTGATGATGAACAGGTAAATGCATAGTGACCGATTCCTTCACAGTTGTAACATTTTCTATTTTTTGATTTCATGAACTTAGGTTTTTGGTATAAAATTCGATTTTCTGATTGTAGAATGTGTTCTTGTTAACAAATGATCTTGCCTTATAATAGTTTCCTCTTTTTGTTTGATTATATCTCTTGTAATCTCCATCCTTACAAAAAAACCGCTTCTTTGTTATTGTGTCCCTCTTTTTTCTTTTCTTTTCTGCCGCTATCTGCCATGCATTATTTATTACCTCCATATCATCTTCCACATCATTATACTTTGATTGAGGAAGTTCAACTGCCACATCCCAACCATATTCGTTTGCCACTCTTAAAATTGTCATTCTGTCCTTTGCTTTCTTTTTGGCTAATTCAATAAAAGAACATGCTTCCTTTGCCGAATTTGTATTTAGTGCCAGATCCAGATCTTTCCAATTGACCTCAAAGTATTATAATTATATTGATCTCATGGTTTCTCAAATCGTCTCTCTGGCCACGCATTTTCAATTTTTGTTTTTGTAAACGTCTCATCCATCTTACTATTTACATCACTCATATCCCTCCTTAATTCTTTAATTTCCTCCAATAGACTTCACATTTCTAAACTATCCGGTTGCTCTACTTTTCTTTTCTTATGATCCGTTTGCTCAGTATCACTCTGATAGGGTGAGTTATCAGATGCTGATACTGATTTTGTTCTTTTTAATTGTCCATTATTTCCTATCACCCGATTACAATCTGTTTCCTCCTGTATTCTTATGTTTTCTAGGTCGGTACCATCTTGATATTGCTGTAATAAGCTATGTTCAGGTTCCTCCTCCAGTTAGATGGACGTGCTATTGTTATTCTTTCGATTAGTTCAGCTTTACTTCCCGTGTTCCTTACACCCAGTTGGGTCGCAATAGCTCTTAGAGTATTAATCGACATTTGTGTGCGTTTGACTTCTTTCCGCCTAAGTGTTAAGTCCCACTTAGCTTGTTAGGTGTTTTTCTTAAACGTTCTTTTATCGTTGTACTCATATTGTCGCTATACTCGAATAAGCCGGAAAAATAATCTTTTCGGGCCACAACAGAAAGAAAGCATAGTCATCGTAATACTCTCACATCATTCTTAATATTGTTTACTAGCACATTACGTCATTCACTGTGTTACATGATCTCTCGCGATAATCTAGCTCCTGTGACTTCGTCTCGGTCGCTAATAATTTGCCAATATAAACGATGCTGCCAATCATTTCATAGTATTTTTTTTTGCTTTTTTTTCTAATTTCCACCAGCACGACTATGGCACTGCACGCACACAGGACGTTCCTATATCTGCCAGTCAACTGGATTTTCTGCTTGCAGAAATAGTATGCGGAAAATCGTATGCTGTACAAAAGGTAGGGCAGTGTGAAAAAATAAGTGAAAACAGCACAGTGGGTCGTGCTGCACACGGTTTTGTCTTTAGAACTGGGGACTGCTGTTAGAATTGGTATGCTTCTTGTGTACCAGGCGGCATATGTTAAGTGCAAACGGCTAAAGTGGAATCTTAAAAAAACATGTAAGCATAGCCGTAATACTAATAATGCGTGTTTGCTATGCAGGTGTATTATAATTTTCATGGCAGGCGTGTGGCAGGTGGAAACAGACCTGCTGGTGTATGATTTACTGCCGGCTTATAAAAACTGGCAGTATTATGGCTTCTGGTTATATGAAAGTGAAACGCCACCTTTTGATACCCGGGATTTGTGCCCTAGGAAATCGGAGCTGTATAATACATGACACTGAAAGCTGCTTGCTTTATTGCTTCGGTTTATTGCAATTGCATAAGGTAAGAGGCGTTGGATCTTATGAATGAACAATAGCTGAAGTATCAAGGGAATCGCTGTCATCATCCATACAGCAGGGACACCATTAGCTATGCACGTACGTAATGTCAAAAATAGATAACTATCTGATTTAACTGCCCATGTTGAACATATTAGTGCCACAATGGATGCTTTGGAACTGTACTCACAGGTTTCTGCCAGCAGAAGTGATAGAAAGTTTTGAAAATGCGCAGAGATTATGGTTTACTGGATCATAATGGAAGGCTTTATAGTGCAGAAAAAGATTACAATGATTTACAAGGATGTTAAACTCAGGTGAAACCAACCTTTGGATATATGCTTTTCGCTTTAAAGAGGATTTTGCAGAATCTACTTAAATAGGGAATTTTAATTGAATATGATGCCAATACTCTGTTTGCTTTGTTCTGATTCCGAAGAATTGTAATATCATTCGAGGGCTCTCAAATTGATTGGTTCCAACACATTTCCAAAAATACGGTAGAGCTTACAGAAAGTGAATCGAAGAAATGAAATAAGTATAAAGGCAGACAGAATTTTTGGACGATGCTACAAAAAAAACATAAAAGACAATGTGAATAAGACAGTGGAAAAATATAACATGGCTGATATACTGTAGATATAGGGAATGCGCACAAAATACGGTAGAAGGTTGGAATAGCCGGTGTTAATTTAAGGCCGAGAAAAAATAAAAATAAAATTAATAAATTTAATATAAACTATCACATATATGTTTTAATTACGTCGCTACATGTTTAATATCTGATATAAATTGGCATGGTCAAGCGAGAATTAATAATACACATGTGACTATTATAAAATGCACCCTGCATCACTCCGGGGTCACTTCACACTATCACGATTTGCATCACATGATGTGGTTTGGGTCACATGAGTCTTTATTTTCTCCAATGTGACGCCGTTAACAACCCTAAATCAATCTCTCCAAACCATTTAAGAATAGCTTAAAAGTCGGATATTTTTCTGTATTATCTGGCTATGCAACCATTTATGTATTGTAATTTATCGGTGTGCCATCCACTAGGTGTTTCTCTTTTTCCTTTGATTTATCTATTATAATGGTAACCGGTGAGACTATCGTCAAGAGTAGCTAAGACTCGCATAACGATAGGCAAATAATGGTGTTTAAATAAAGGTGAGGCGATTTAATTTTGGCCAACCCCCCCCCGATTGTCTGTCTTTGTTGTTTTATTTTTTCTTTCTTTTTATACATTTTCACACTAATTACATTATGATAATCAATAAGGCTGAAGCAATAAAATCTTATGGCGAACTAGTATTAAATAATCTTTCACATTTTTGTTTTATTGCATAATTATTGAATCAACTTATAGCACCACGATTGTGAATCCGGTCACGTGACTATCGTCGCGATTGTACGTAGTGAATTAGATAAGTTTTTTGGCATTCCTTTTTCATCCTTTGTGTCATTCTCCATTAAATCTCACGATAGTGCCGCGAGAATCAAGCACTCAGTACGGGTCATGTTACCTTTACTTGTGTCACACTAGTATGCTAATTTTTTATTTAGAACTTCATCACTTGATATTTCTCAGAAAAGTTGCTCTAACTGTATAAAATTCGTTTGTAAGTCTCACCTGATAAGATATCGACTTGCATCTAGAAATACCGTAGACGTTACGGTTTTATAATGCTAATGTAAGGAGAAAGAAAGTCACAAGTGTGTGTTTCGAGTAAATTCCGCCACCTAATTACTGTATAACATAATCAGGGTTGTAAGGATATTTGGAACTTTTGAGATTTTTTGTAATTTTAAGCGACTTCCTTATAAATGAAAGAAATTATCTAACAAAGATCCAACTTTTCACAGTAAACTTTTCTCATTTATATACGTCAATCACCGCACGAAGTACTTTAATAAATTTAAAGATTAGTATAGTTTTTATTATATAACTAGGTAAATGGAACCATTTAAAGCCCGAAGGACTATAACTAACACATATAACAACATCCTCTATTTATACATTCCTTGGTTCTTTATCGTTTAAATTAGCTTATACAGTAAATACATCACACTACCATAACTATTGTAACATGGGAAAAGGTAACGCACCTCGCACTGAATTCTGAGTTCCCCACGATATTGGGAAGAAAACAGCGGTATCAAGCACAATGAGCGTGATAGAAACTAGCGCGAACCTGAGAAAATGGGAACTGTTAGAAGGAAGTCGGATTACGACACGATCGCAACGATTGCCACGTGACTGGGTCGTGCAAGGATCGATCATGGCACTATGGGATCGAACAATAGAATTATGTAATAAGAGTAGCGTGAAAATCAAATAACGGTTATTTCGTCATGAGAATTTTTTGATAGTTTTCCTTAATTGGTATCTATCATTTTTATTATGTAATAAGTGTGCAAGAATGTATAAAAAAATAAAGTCCAGTTAGTAAAGTTTTTCGGCCAACATCAATTCCGCCTCACCATAAACAAAACACTTACCATCGTTACGCGAATCTGAACTTTCCTTAGCGACAGACTCGCCGACCACTGTTACACTATCGATCTCTATCATGTCAATGATTTTTGTCGTGATGCGAAAATACATCATGTAATCGTGACCCCAAAATCAAACTCCTAATTGTCCGAAGGACATTAATTGTGTTAACTGTAAATAAGTTATACTGTATAATAAGAAACTTCGTTAAATTGATACTGTGTGCTGCTATCACTTGTGTATTACGTGACCGGAAGGTGCACACATCCGGATCACTATTGCTGTACATTAGAGTGTCCTTCGGACAATTATGACATATCTCAACAAATATATTTGCTGCATGTATTCAGCATAACTAGATCAATTCTTTAACCGCTATAATTTTTCTAGCCATTCAAATTCATTAAATTAGCCTTGTTTATGCAAATCATAAAAATAATTGCAAAACCTGCCTCCATTTCGTATTGAAATACCAAGAAGGGTCTAATTTTAGACATCTTGGTTTATTTATACAGTAAGCATTAAAAACTTTAGAAATTTTATTTTATTTTTTAACAAAGTTTTTTTTCAGCATATTTGCACCGAATATTTCTAGTGTTGTGGATGGGAACGCGATAATGAAGCGAGTCGCGCAACAATAATGTTGTTATCGTTATTTTCGGCGAGTCTGTCGCTATCCCAGGACTAGCACTCGCGTAACGATAGGGGTTCTTGTAAGTTCTTCTCTCTCTTGAGGCGTGTATCGATTTGGCCAAGTGCTTTCACGAACTTGCTTCTCTTCTATTACTAGTCCAGTACTTGATCCACGCTGCGGTTTCCTTTTCCGGCCTCCTTGGATCTTCCGCGGAACACTAGTAAGTCTTTATAGAAGAGCAAGTGACAGGCGCAAATAATAATTTATTCTTTTATTAAATGAAGATTACCAATTACAAGATTATAAGTTATGCTTATTGCTAGACTATCCTACATCTATTTATACTACTAGCGACGTGTACAATTATCTAATGTCGCGTTATGCAAATTACTCTAAGCTCAAGAAGCTTCGGCACCTATCACTGATGCATGATAAATGCATCATGTTACTGCGCCACAGCACGCCCATCCATTTTCCCCACAACAGTGTCAATGATGGTAGAATTATGTAATAATTGACTATAACATTTAGATAGGATAGTATATTGAATCGGCATATAAATAGAAGGGGAATCGCTAGTTTAGGAGTTTGTGAGTTTAGAACACCTCTGTTTGTATTAGCGCTGCTATAATAAAGAGACTTTAATTGAGAAACCGCTGTTACATTTGTTCCGTGAAGTGACACTTGTTATCTTGAGACGCGTCAAGAAGGGATTAGAAGTGTGTGAAAAGTCGACCAAATCGTAACGCGGCTCATAGATAAGCCTTGCCCTATTTTAGCGCCAAAATCCAAGCGGTTGGATTATTGTCACACGAAGGATGATCCGTATTAGCGACCGGCTCGCCAATGACGACAACACTAGATACTGTATATTAGTAAGAATTATTGCGCTAAGTCAAAATATTTTTACGTATATATGTTTTAAATATCATTAATACACTTAAAAATAATTTATAAAAATTCAGTTATCCTGAACGTAACCGCGAAAGCCTTTTAAAGTATAATGTTATAGTAGAATCTTGTAAAAAAGTAATATCTTAAAAAAAATTGTCAGTGTCTATTTAATATTATTCAGTCCTGATATTATTATGGGGCCAGTACGTGATGCAACCCCAGCACGCCCCAAGAGTAAAATAACAAAACTTTATGATAGTTTGAAAATATTTTAGAAACAGTCTAACGATAGGCTATAAGATAATCATATACGTAAGTATACTCAGATGGTGTAAAAATGAACAGCAAAAAAATCTGGACTAGTGCATTCTTTTATTAACGAAAACAACTATCTTTTGAAAATAGGCTCTTACAAGCTGAAATGTAACGGCGGCAAGGATTAGTTGAAGCCTAATTCATGATGGACCATTGATCAATTCTTATATGTCTCAGGTAGAGAAAAACATTACCCTAACATTAGTCGATTGTTTGTCCGGTAAAGCGACAGACTCATTGATAACAATATACGACACATCCAAACTTTTTTAAATCCACATTTTTTTAATAAACCAATAATTTTTGTATAATAAAATTGCTATCACATTACATCGGGTTTTAAATTTCTGTTGAGATTTTCACAACTGTGATTTTTTTTCACACATAAACCGAACGATCCTTCAAACTCACAAATGCAAGCTATTTTTTTCCCATTGTGTTGGTTGATGTTTGGATTTGGGGGATTGATGTGTGTATTGAAGAAATTGATGTGTAAATTTTCTTATAAAGTTTTGTAGTAAAATGAAATTCGGTGTTTTTTAGATTCTGATTTATTTATTTTCTGTATAATATTAAACTGTTTTGCGTTTAACAAAACGCTTTATTTAT